TCTAAGGAAGTAATAAGTTAAATGAGGTCATAAGGGTGGGGCCCTGATCCCATAGGATTGGCGTCTCTATAAGAAGAGACACCAGAGAGCTCACATGCTCGCTCTCTCTCTCTCTCTCTCTCTTTCTCTCTCTCTGTGCACATACTAAGGAAAGGCCAAAGTGAGAAGATGGCTGTCTGCAAGCCAGGAAGACAGCCTTTACCAGAAACCAAATCAGCCATAACCTTGATCTTGGACCTCTACCCTTCAGAACTGTAAGAAAATAAATTTCTGTTGTTTAAACCACCCAGTCTATGGTATATTGTTATGGCAGCTGAAAAGACTAATATAGATGAGTTGGGTTTGAGATGTCTGAGGGGGTAGCGATAGAAAAATGTGTTACAGGTAGACGGAAATGCAAATGGAGAGCAGATGTGGAAGTCACCAGGGTTTAGGATGAAGCTGAAGCCATGGGAGTAGAGGTGACCAACTGAAGAAGGTTCTAGAGTAAGAGGACTGAAGGCTGAGGACAGACCCTGAGGAGCTGTGCAGGAGCTATGAAGGAGTAGCCAGAGAGGCGAAGGAGAACCAGGAGGCAGGGGTGACAGAAGCCCAGAGACCAGGAGGGCCAGGGACTCAGAGTCACACTGGGGTGCCAGGAAACTCAACCCAGGCACCTTTTTACAGCAGAGGGGGCTCTTCACCATGGAGGTGTGAAACCGATGGGCTTTATCCCTCAAATAAAAAGTCCAAGATGGAAGGGACAGAAGGAAAAGGTAGACCCACCTGGATTTAACCCTTCACAGGTTCTTCTTTCCAGTGCACTTAGTTCAAATGCTTTCTAAGGCCTCAAGGCTCCCTGTGAGCTGGATTCTGCCTCCTGCCAATTCTGCCCCCACACCCTACACTGTACCCACAGTGGACCATGTCATTTCTCAGCCAGCTAGTGGAGTGAGGGCCCTACGCTGGTGGGAGGCAGGGATCTAAAACTGGGGCCTGCACAGGCCACCTGTAGGCTGACCCAGGCCTGGCCTGAAGGACAGGAAACCTGGAAGGTTTGGGTAGAGAGAAGCTTTGGTGGCCCCAGGTTAGGACAACGTCTCTGTACCAGGCAGTATGTAAGGAGTTTTCTGTGATCTCACCTCACTGTCATAACAAAGTTATAAGGTTGGCATTATCTCCATTTTCTGAGTGGGGAAATTGAGTCTCAGAGAGGACACGTGACTTTCCCAAGGTCACACAGCTGGGACCATGCTGGGATTCACCAGGCCTGGTTCAATTTCAGAGTCCGTTCTATCTTCAGAGAACCCGTTGCCTGCTCAGAACCTGCTATGGGCTTAGTGATATCTCTAGATACCCCGACACTCCTTCCTGATTTGTCAGGGGTCCGAGGAGAAGTCCTGCTGCCACAGAGCCTGTGACCAGCAGTCATGCAGGGTATGCTTTCAGACGATATCTAGGTTGCTCACTGCTGGAATCACAGCACCCAGCTTACCGCTGGTCACGTAATGGGGGCTTAACCAATAGTGGCAGAGTGAAATGGAGAAATGAACGAATGAACAAAACCGCCGGCCTCTAGTGACATGGGATCCAGGCTCACAATATATGGCCCATTTGGTTGGGGCAAAGCTTTGGCTTCTATAAAGATTTTATAAGGAATTGAAACTTCATAATTTTGGGAGGCTCCTGATACAGGGGGAAAATCAGACTTTGAAGCCAGAGAGACACGGGCTCAAATCCTGTCTCTGCCACATGTCCCACACTTCTGTGTGACCTCGGGCAGGTTACTTCACTCCTCTGAGTACACACACACACTCTCACACACACACAAACAAACAAACAACAACAACAACAACAAAAACAAACAAACAAACAAAAAAAACCGGGAGGGGGAGGGGAGAGGAAGATATAACAACCACAATTTTTTTTGAAGATCTTACAACAAGAAAATGGAGGGGACACACTTGGGTGGGAGGGGGGAGAGGGAGGAGGGAGGGAGGTTTCGGTGATGGGACACAATAATCAACTACATTGTATATTGACAAAATAAATATAATAAAAATAAAAATAAATAAATAAATAAAATAGCAGCCATCGTATAGTGGTGAGCATTCAGTGAGATGAAGCAATGTTTTTCAAACCAGTGTTTAGGTATGAATTTTCTCTTGAGTAAAAGAAGGCTTACAAGGAGTAAAAGAAAAGAAAGGAAGAAGAAATGGAGACAGGGTCGAAGCCTCCCTGCTAGGCATTTCCCAACCCACTTTGGTGGTCCCTGGAGATACCCCAAGTCTTTGTATAACACTGTTTGAGGATCCTGACATAATGAACATAAAGCTTCTGGCACGTAGTAGGCTCTCAACAAATGTGATGAAATCACATCAAACAAATCTTATCCCTCTTTCCCACATGACAACGCTTCAGATATCTGGACACAGCTCTCAAGTCTCCTGAGTCCACTTTTCCTCCAAGTAAACATTTGGGGTCATTAACATTTCTCACATGGATTGGCGTAAATCCTCTCCTATCTGTCTCAAGCTGAGGTCCCCACGTCTAGCTCAGTTCTCTGATCCTGACCGGGCATAATAAAGCACAACTAACTCCCTGGGATAAATTCTAATAGCTTATTTTTTGAATCCTGAAACAGGACTTGACATTCCCACTTCATCTTATCCTATTAATTTAGCCCATGGCTCTACCCCACACAGATCCTTCTGCACTGTTTGCTGATTGGCATTGTCATCCCTTTCAAGTCATGCTATTTATGTCTTAATCAAATCATTGGCAAAATATGGACAGATTAAGGGCATGTGGATGACATGGGATCATTCCTCCCTACTTCTGGGAACATTCACTGCTGAGCATCTATAGAATTTCAGAATTAGGGGAAAACTTAGAAACTGCATCCAAAGCTATTCATCTTTTCAAAGTAGTGAGTGACAGAGCTTGGACCTGAGTCAGGGTCCCCTGATTTCTTGTCTAGTGCTCTTTCCATTGCCCACAGCTGTTTATGTGTAACTTTGTGAACCAGAACAGCACATTCATTTAATTACCTGGGTATTCACTCATTAGCTGCTCACTAATTGCTTTGCAATTTGCAGCATTTCTTATTTTCATATTTTTTATCTAACAATCTTCATAGGACCCCTGTGACCTAGGTTATATTATTATCTCCATCTCACAGTAAAGAAAAAGAGCTCAAGAAAAGGTTCATGACTTGTTCTGGCAGCAGAAAGTGACAGGACCAGGACTTGCACTCGGCTTTGTCACCATGCATAAGCATTCTCTGTCTGCTGCTCTGCCTCACCTAGTCACATGGCTTTCTATTCTTAGAACAGTACAACCTCATCTTTGCCCCTGGGGACATCGAGGTATGATAATGTTAGTGTAGGAAATATGGGCTAGCTTCCTGTTATGGGTTGAATTATGTCCCCCCAAAAGGTATGTTGAAGTTCTAATTCCTGGTATGTAGAAATATGACCTCATTTGGAAAGAGAATCTTTGCGGATGTAATCAAGTTAAGATGAGGCCATACTGGAGCAGGGCGAGCCCTTAATCCAATATGCTGATGTCCTTATAAGAAGAGAAGAGGGACACATAGGAACGTGTGTGATGACAAAGGAGAGATTGGAGTGATGCAGCTCTAAGCCAAGGAATGCTAAGGACTGGGCCACCGTCAGAAGCTAGCAAGAGACAAAGAAGGATTCTACCCTGAGCCTCCAAGAAGCATGGCCCTGCTGACACCTTGATTTCAGATTTTCAGCCTCTAGACTGTGAGAGAATAAATTTCTGTTGCTTTAAGCCACCCAGTTTGAGGTACCTTTGTTAGGGCAGCCCACAAATGAATGCCCCTCCTGTGCGTTAGGAGGAAACAGCACAGGTCCCAGAACAGGAAGAGCCTTGGGCACACTGGGGTTGGGGAGGGAGCAGGTGTGAGTCACACCAAAGACGCACCTTCTCTCCCCTCCCTGCCTCCTGTACCTCGCAGCCACTAGTGACTTTGAGGCCTTATAGCTCACTTTCTTGATAAAGCCTTTCCTGTTCCCCCAGGAAGGACGACTGCTCCCTCCTCTGGGCTCCTCCTGGCTCTGTCGGTGGCAGCCATCTCACCTTAACACCTCGATCATCTTCCCCTCTCTCATCACTGGAGCACAAGGACTTTGAGGCAAGGCCTCAGTCAGGTGCACCTGTCCCCCTCGTGCTGGTCTGGAGTCTGGCACCTAACAGGGGCTTTGCGATTACTTGTGGCATGGCTTTTCCTTTCCTTTTTGTGGGACTGGCACTAGCAGTCACTGGCCTACAGGAGGTGTGGAAGTGCACGGAAGGACAACGGTGTGGTAGCTCTCAGGCCCCAGAGTTTGCAGTTCTCTTAATGCCTGTTCCCAGCAAGAGATGAGGAGCTTGTCTGCATCCTCCTCAGGCCACCATCAATGGTGGGTGTCTGTCCCTAGCCTTACGCACAGAGTTACTCAGTCATAACCATGAAACCCGAATAGGGCAGCTTGGGAAGCTATTGTCTCTGGTCTAAAGATTTTGAAAATAAGCGAAGTTCACAAAGTTTACAGTTTACTTAGAAATCTACAACATGAGTCAGGTATGAACTGGGGATGGAACTGATAAATGTGCCTGGCACTGGGTGCCCAGCATTTTAAGTGATTTATATCAGATGGGAAGCTATTGTCCCTGGTCTAAAGATTTTGAAAATAAGCGAAGTTCACAAAGTTTACAGTTTACTTAGAAATCTACAACATGAGTCAGGTATGAACCAGGGATGGAACTGATAAATGTGCCTGGCACTGGGTGCCCAGCATTTTAAGTGATTTATATCAGATAATCCTCAAAACAACTGGGGAGGCCCACCGAACAAAAGAGGCTGAGCCCAGAGAAGTCGAATAACGTGCCTAAGGAGTGGAAGCTAGTGCAGGGCGGACCAGGATTTGAACCAGGGCTTTCTGATTCCAAATTGAGACCCCAAGTCTCAGACTCCCCGGGCAGAGTTCATCTGGATCCCCAAGAGCAGTTACCTTCGTAAGAAGCCTTGAATCCCAGGGAGCTGCCACTGCCATCGGTCTGGAAGAGGAGCCACATTTGATGGTTGGTGCTGACAATGAGATCTGGGACCGATGTACCTGTCAGGCTATCAGGAGAGAGACATTTAGAGGTGTGCACCCCACCGTGGCACCCGAACAAAATGACTGCCCACCCAACGACATCTACAGCACCATCCAGAGCCAGGCCCACTGTGGGGCAAATTCCAGGCCCTGTGTTGCTGACACTGGAGCCCAGCAGCATGTGCCCCACACACTGGGAAGACTCATCACCTTTCCCCCTCAGCCATGGGCAGAGCTTCAATTTCACCTCTGGTTCCCTTGCCCAGACTCTGGGCTTCTGAGGGACATCTGTGTCCTCACTTGCTCAGGGGACAGGGGTAGCTAAAACCAAATCTAATCAAGGGGTTACACTCTTGCAACCTTTGATCTCTCATATGATCTATACTGCAGAAAAGATGCAGACAGAAACCCACTTCCCCAGCCAGAACCCAAGCCACTCCTTTTAATAGACATCTCCTTCCGTTCCAGAATGAGAAGCAAGGCTTAACGTGAGCAGTCACCGAGGGTCAGGCTCCTTTTGAACAAGAGGGTTCAAGCACAGGGAGGATTCTGATTCAACTCAGTTTACCAAGAACCTACCCAGGCCAGATACTGTGCTGACCAGTTTCCCACCACGACCTCATTTAATGCCCTCGTATCCAGTGAGGTGGGGTTGGGTTGCCATTCCCACTGCACAGATGAGAAGACAGAGGTGTAGAACCGGCATTGGTTTCCCCAAGGTCAACCTGATAGAGGGTGGCAGAGCTGGGGTCCACAGTGCAGACTGTGGTTCCAGAAGAAAACTGGCTCCATCCTTCTGGACAGATCACCAGCACAGATTGGGGGAGAGGGCGATTGAACTAATGGGTCCCAATCTGCTCTACCCTGAGGACTCCAAGACTGGGGGGCTGTTGAGTTGGTTGCAGAGAGATGATCATCATACCATGACGTGCCAGGAGTGGGATGGAGCTGGGATAGACCCCTGGAATACACCAGCCTGGGTGTGACATCCCTGAACTTAGGGCTCTGACGTTCGGGACTCCAAGACTGGGGGGCTGTTGAGTTGGTTGCAGAGAGATGATCATCATACCATGACGTGCCAGGAGTGGGATGGAGCTGCGATAGACCCCTGGAATACACCAGCCTGGGTGTGACATCCCTGAACTTAGGGCTCTGACGTTCCGTAATGAGAATGGACTGAGGCCGGGCTGGGGCTGGCTCCTGGGTTTAGGGCGGTGGTGAGTGAGAGAGAAGGCCAAGGCCTCTGGTCTTTCCTCTGTTTGACTCAATGATGACAGCAAAGGGGTCCAACCTTTGCACACGTTTCCCTGAAGGATTGAGATCGACGTTGGCTTCAGAGATCTGGGGGTAGTGGAGAGCCTGTGGGCTGCTAGAGAACTTGTTGGGATTCCACTGAAACTGCACTGATCCAGAGACCTGGGTCCAAGCCCGGCTCTGCCATTCATCCGCTGTGGGACTTTGGGCCTCTCTGCACCAAAAGTGGTTGAGCCTCTCTGGGCTTTTTTCACTCCATCTTAAATGAGGGGACTGTGCTGTATAATCCCCAAAAGCCTCTTCAGCTCTGACATTGTAAGATTCTCTCTATGACAAAGCATAAGGGGTCTCGGGAGGAGAGAGAGCTTGGAACTTGGCCTCTCAGGCACACTGAGAGGATGCACCGCACAGGTCTGCAAACTAGGGCAGAAGGGGAATGGTGGGATGCCCTAGAGGGAGTGGGCGTGATGGCTAATTCTATGCGTCAACTTGACTAGGCCACCGGGTGCCCAGGTGTCTGGTCAAACATTATTCTGGGTATTTCTGTGAGAGTGTTTTTGGATGAAATGAGTATTTAAATCAGTAGGCTGAGTAAAGCAGATTGCCCTTCCGGTGCGGGTGGAGCTCATCCCATCAGCTGAAGGCTGAATAGAACAAAAAGGTGGGCCCCCTCCCTGAGGAAGAGAATTCTTCCCTCCTGATTGCCTTTGAACCGGGACATCAGCTTATTTCCTGCTTTAGGACTCAGACTGAGACATCGGCTCACCCTGGGCCTGAGCCATTGCCCTTCAGGCTGGAATTACACCGCTGGCTCTCCTGGGTCTCCAGCTTGCTCACTCCCCATGCAGATCTTGGTACCTGTCAGCCTCCAAAATCACACAAGCCAGTTCTATATAATAACTCTGTCTGTCTATCTATTTATCTATCTATTTACCTACCTACCTACCTATCTATCATCTCTTATTGGTTCTGTTTCTCTGGACACCATGACTAGTTCAGTGGAGTAGGCAGGGGAGGATGCCCTTTGGGCTCACATTCCCTTTCTTTGTCCTGAGAGATCCCAAGTCCCAGCCATGTCACCTGACTCAGTGGGTACCATCAGATTAGATGAACTGATTAACTGCATGGATAACATCATCTCCAGATAGGTGTGGGGAAGGTGAAGAGGGACCCAGAACAGAGAAGCCCCTGGACAAGCCAGCTATTACTGAACAACGATTTCTCATTCAGCATTAAAACCAGAGGGTGCTAGCCTAGAGCTAGCCTGGTTGGAAGGGGGCATGGCATGGGACACTGTCCTTGACCAAAATCAAAAGACATGAACTTGAGTGCTGGTTCTGCTACTGACCATCTCTGCAATCATTGGGCCTCAGTCTCTATGCCGGTTAAGTGGGGATAATAATACCTTTCTCAGAGGGCTGTTGTGGGGCTTAATCAAGATAACTGATGCAAAAGTCCCCATTACAGTGCCTGGTGCATAGCTGGTGCTCAGTGTATGTGACTCCCCGTCATTCTTGGGAGGGAGATGGACACAGTCAGGCCTGTCTGTCTCTGAGGCTTGGTTACATGTACTGAACAGCAACATTTCCGAACTTTTATGTCAGGTTATTGGTGGGGGGCAAAGGAGGAGTTGAAGGGCCCCCAAATGCAAAGGCCCAACCACATGGTGTAATCCCAGGACAGCCTGATATTGTCCTCTCCCTTGACTAGACCACTTCGTACTGGCCTTTCTTGGGTCAGGAAATACGGTCACTGTGTATACGTGGTCCTGATTCTTTGAAGCTATCCATTTTCCCGATAGTTCTGAGTACGCAGTACAGTTAGCAACACACTCCCACTGTCTCTGTCTGAGCTCAGATTGCCATGGATGTCCGTGACTTGGAGTAAAAACTGCTGGGTGACAGAATCAGGATCTGCATGGAAGCGGAGAGCCAAGTGGAAAGTTCCAGGCTCCCACACAAAACTTCTCCTGCCCTCTAAGAGATTACTCATTATGTACACTTTTCTACTCATTCTGTACACTTTTCATGTGGATTCCCAGTGAGAATTTGGCCCAGTGCTCTTTTCCCTTTGGTTGGAGTACAGAGAAGTGGAGGAATTGCTGCTGAGACCAGGAGCATGGCAGGACACTGTCCTGGCTGCGGCGTGGTCTGGCGATCAGGCAGGACTTGGCAAGCCCATCCCACCACGCTCAGCCAAGGTCCACGTGCTGTCTCACCCTCCAGGCCACACACACCGCTGCACTTACATGTAAAGAACCGTCTTCTGGTCTCCGTCCTGCCCACCGTCCCCAACTGTCAGGGTGTCATAACCCCTCTCCAAATCAAACTCCTCAAAGGCAAGCTTGATCACCTAGGGAGGGAGCACAGGGTTACAAGCAGGCAGGGGCTGTGAGAAGACTAATGAAGCCTGAGAATAGTAAGAATTTTCCTCATTATGTTCCGATGCCCAGAGTCATTGGGGGCTCCGTCCTACACAAACTGCTCATTTCTGTGCCAGCTTTACGAATGTGAACTGTTTCTCTCCAGACAATACTGTCTCCGGGGCCTCCTGATGTTTCTGAAGATGTTCATGGCACATCTGGCCAATTCTGGAGGCTGTCACAGCAACACCAGGCACATCTGGCCAACTGTTAGATGATTAGACTCTTTCTTCATGCTTTAATGCACAGAAATCCCTGAGGGCTTGGTGGCACTTTTTTAGGCCACATGTGGAATCTCAGCTCTCCTGCCCCCAGGGACCTGTAGAAGTTTCTCTCAGCCTTCCATCATTTTTGTTTGTTTATTTGTTGAATAAATGAATGTCTCAGGATGAGGTTTCGACAAGATTCCTTCCTCTTAACTAGCTTTAGTCCTGCATTCCATGGATATTTAATAAGCATTCCCCATATGCCGGGCTAGAAAGTGGGGTTTCAGCAGTGAGCACTTCCCAGTCCCTGCCCTCAGGGGGAAGGGGAGACAGAAAAGCAATCCGATGACCACAGCACCAGGGGACAGAGGCCACGGTGGGCTGTGTGGGAACAGAGGAGCCTGCAGGTCCCCTGCCTGCACTGGGGGTGGAGGAGAAGCTACTTGGGATGGTGGCGTTTGAGGGAATTCTGAAGACTCTGTCAGGCCAAAGGGGGATTTTGGGTGAGGGAGGAAGTCATCTGTGAAGGAGTCAAGTGCACAGAGCTTGAGCTCTGGCAGAGATGGAACATTCCAGAACGAGTTGTTCAGTGTCTGTACAATTACAGAGCAGAAGGTCTACAGACTGAGCATACCTGCCAGCTGCCTCGCTCTGGGGGACAATGTGGCGGGGCCCTCAGTGTTAGGGGTGACTCGGGAAGGTCCAGAACATGAGAAGTTTGCCTGGAGCTTGATCCAAAGGTCTCAGATCTCCCTCCCCTCAAAGAACTGGGGTTTGTCTGAGGGAGGGGTGGTAGGAGAGTTTTAAACACTGGTGACGGCCACATACGTTTGAGAACACATCAGTCCGGCTGCTCGTGTGGAACTGATCATGGGTGAGGCAGGCAGGGGAGGACGGTTCCAAGCTTCAGCAATGGGGGAGGGGAAGAGGGGCAGGTGCTGGTGACGTGTGGGGCTTTGGGACTGAATGGGCGCGGGGGCTGAGGAGAGGGAGGAAGCTGTGCTGACCTGCAGGTTTCTGGCTTGGGTAACTGGGTGGGTGGGTGGTGGCGCCTTTCATGAAAACAATGTACAGCAGCACCCACTCCTAATGTCTACCTGGGTCTCTTTTTGTCCATTTCAGTCTGGCTTCAGTCCGATGATGATCTTCACTCCCCCAACCAGAGGCTGGGGGGAGCTGAAGCTGCTCCTTCGTTTTCTATTCTACAACTCAAAGAGTACAGATTCCTGTGGATATTTTTTCCTAGTTGTGACTGACGCCTTCTGCATGTTTCCTCCATCTAAACCAAACAGCCCGGCTCCCCCTGCTGCCAGTGTCCCAGCAGAGCCTCACCCCAAGGTGCTTTTGGGTGTCTCTGAAGCCCTCATTCATGAGCCTGGGTGCCCTCCACGCAGGGCGCCTCTGCACACGCACAGTGAGGAGCTTGCTCTGGATAAGAGCCTCCCTGAGCACTTCGCAGCTAAGTGGGTCTAAGAAAGACACGGAGGAGGAAGTAATTGCCATTGGCTTGGAGAGAAGCCAAAGGAGGCTTCCTGGAGGAAATGAAGCCCAGGCTGTGTTTGCAAGATAAACTGGAGTTGTGCTCTGGATAAGAGCCTCCCTGAGCACTTCGCAGCTAAGTGGGTCTAAGAAAGACACGGAGGAGGAAGTAATTGCCATTGGCTCGGAGAGAGGCCAAAGGAGGCTTCCTGGAGGAAATGAAGCCCAGGCTGTGTTTGCAAGATAAACTGGAGTTCAACAAATAGGTGTGGAAGGGACAGCAATCCGGGCACAGGCATGAGCAGAGAGTGGAACGGTGTGACTTGTCCAGACACTTGGAATTGATTTAGAGTTGTTTAAACAGGGAAGTGGAGGGTGGTGATGTGAGGGAACTAGGAGGAGCCAGATTAGGAAAGGCTGTGTGTCATGCTAAGGATTTGGGGCTTTGTCCTAAAGACGACAGGGAGTTATGGAAGAGTTGTGAGCAAACGTATGACATGAGATTTTTGTTTTAGGAGCGACAGCATTGGGGATGGTTGAAAACCAGGAGACAGACCAGTTACTGGGCTGTAGCAATAGTCCAGGTGAGGGAGACGGGGCTTGTAGCAGGCAGTCGCTGGGCTGGGCTAGTAAAGAGGGGCTGGAGTTTAACTGTCAGTAGTGAGTGGGGATTCTTTGGCCCTGTGAGTCTCCCATCCAGAATGTTCCCTGTTGGCTAATGGCATCACCCAGGGATCATTTGCTCAGACTGAAATCTCCTTCCCATCTCTCACCCTCAACATTCCTGCCCTGCAGAACATTTCCTGGGGTCTCATTTCCCAGCCTGACACACAAGGAGGGGCCGAACAGCTTGTGAGGCCACCCGAGCTCCTGGGCGTGCCCACCATGGAGGCCCATTCACAACTCCCGTGTACACAGGCTCTACCCTCTCCCTGTTGCTCTCCTAGCAAGTTTCTCCCCATCCTTGAGCTCCCTCCTGTCTCAGTTCTCTCTGAGGGGCCTTGACAAGGCTTAGCGTCCTCTCACCTTGCTTTAGGTACTTACCTGCTGTTCTGTGATTGATCTGTTCACCTGTTCCTCCACTATGCCAGGAGCTCCTGGAAGGCAGGGGTCAGGTCTCACTGCCTCTGTCCCACCAGTGCCTGTCCGTGTGCCAGGCATGTACCAGGGGCTCAGACAATGTTGAATGACAGAACATTTTTGCAACCTTTCCTGATTATCTGGCATGGATGGATTGCTAGGCTCTCAGATCCCTCACAGTAGTTATACTCTAGAATGAAATTTGGCAAACTTTTTCTGTAAGGGGCCACACAGTTAACATTTTCCCCCTTGTGGATCATATGATATCTGTCACAACTACATACATCATGACCATGGCCATACATAATATGTACATGAATGGGCATGGCTGTGTTCCAGTAAAACTTTATTTATAAAACAAGCAATGAGCTATATTTGGCATGTGGGCTATAGTTTGCCAACCCCTTGTCAAGGAGATTCTTTGAGATACTTATTCATAGTCTTTGATCATCTCTCATGACATATCTTCAGTGCAAGAGTTGATACCTACAATGTGCTCAACTCTGTTCTGAGCACTTTCACACAGTAAATCACGTAAAACTCTCGAGAATAATGGTTACTTTGATTAGCTCCATTTTACAAACGGGAAAGCCCAGGCACAGAAAGGTTAGGCAACTTGCCTAGGGTCCACAGATAAGTGGCAAAGCGGGCAGTCACACTAGGCAACCAGAGGCCAGGCTCTTTGCCATTCTACTCTACTGCCTTACAGAATCCCAGCAAGGTGTCAGGTCCACAAAGTAGCGACCATGACTATCCTTTCAAGCTCATTTTCTGGATCCCAGCAGGTGCTCAAAAACACGTGCTGCACATAAAATACCATAAGGCAGAGAGTGCTTCTGCAGCAGGAGGAGCCTGGGCTCTGCAGGGACTCAGGGTCCTGCCTGGTGCATATTCTCACTACATCAGCCCCTTCCAGCCAGCCATGGGGCAGAGGACACTGCTCACCAAGCCACCTTCAAAAAAGGGAGTGTATGGCCGTTAGGCCTATAATGGGAAAATATTGCTTTGAAGGCCAGAACCCAGAGCCATAAAATGATTCACATCATTGGTTAGAGCTGCCATTGTTGTGAGCCACATTTCAGAGCACTGACCCTAATGTGGGAGCTAATTACATCAAGAAGACTGTTCGACATACACAACATCACAGCTTTGGGACAGGCCCCTGGTGCACAATGTACTGATGCTTTCGTTTTTTATTTTTTCTCCTCTGCTTTGGCCTCTGTTTAAAGACAGCATTCTATAATGACTCATTAACTAACATGCAGATCAATCAAACTCACAAAGCGCCTTTCTGAGGCAGGAGAGATGGCAGCACATGAAATAGCCATGCTCAAAGAAGCACATTTGTATACTGCTCAGACATCCAATTTAAACCCATTAGATAAATGAATAAACAAACCCATCATCTAGGACATAATTACTGAGCACCTGCCATGTGCCAAGCACTGAGCTAGCCATTTCCCATAAGTTATCTCACTTGCCTGACAATTTAGAGCAGAATCTAAATGCCAAGGACATGGTGCAGACGGTGAGTGCTGGAGGATTGCAAAGAAGAGAGAGATGGGAGGAGGGTGCATGGAGGATGTGGGTGTGCTGGGCCTGGCAGGGTGCAGAAGGGCGTGGGCTCAGCCCAGGCAATGCTGGGAGCAGTGAAGAAGGGAATGAAGAACGGGAGGGCAGCTGAGGCAGGGGAACAGCCTGGCTGAGTCTGCAGTTGGATTTTGCCTGGCAGCCGGAGCGAGCAGTCTGGACTTCATGGTCAAGTTGATGGGAAGCTATAATTCAGCAGGGAGGGAGGAATGGAGGCAGAGAGACCAGCCAGAAGGCTGGTGCAGGGTCCGAGAGTGGGAGGAGGAATTAGGGGGAGGCTGAGTCTGTATTCATGGCGGAGGGCGGGGGAGGGAGTCCTGGAGATTAGACCCCTCAGAGCACAGCTACCTTGTCCTGAGAATCATGGAGGATGGAGTGGAACGGCAGAGGATGCCCACCTGAAGCCCTGGAGAACATTCCTCCTTCCCAAGTGCTGTCCTGGATCAGCCAAAGGAGAGGGCTCCAGTCCTGCCAGCCTGTGCTCAATTCCTGGGTGCTTACATGGTCCTCAAAGCCTAAAATATTAATTATCTGGCTTTTTACAGAAAAAGTTTGCTGATCTCTGCCCTAGACCAATGATTTTCAAACTGGGTTCCCAGCACCCCAGGGTCCCACCCAGCCACGAGAAGTGGACTGTAGAGGAATAGGGGAAACTTCTCTGATCACCAGCTTCTCGCACAGGGCCCCGCAGAGAGAGGGTGCGAGTAAATGTTTGCTGAATGAATAAGTGACTGTACCAATGCATTGCTGACATTTGCACTAGCTGTGATCACTTGCCTGGAGAGTTATTTCTCAATACTTCATGTCTACAAAGGCAAGAGTGACACTGCTAATCCCTGAGGAGTGAATAATCAAAATGCTGTTATCTTTGGCTTTGAAGATCACGCAATGAGCTTCCCTTTCCCTTTCTTCCATGCCCCTCCCCTCCCCCTCCCATCTTCACCCTCTCTCCCTCTCTCTCCTACACTCCTTTTTCTTCTTTTATAGAAAAGGTAGGTTAACTTTCCTGATCAAATCCATTGAGGTGCATATGCAAATTGGATTATACATCTCGTGTTCAAACTGAGAAGCTGCAGAGGAAGGGCAGATGTGCGTGGGTGGGGGCGCCGGTGTGGTCTGGGCTTCAGTGCTGGCCGGGAAAATTTCATCAGCTGTGTCTTCTTCCATGAGGCTGATCTGAATGGTCCGGACAAGAGGAGGTCCCAGGACTATGGCCCGAACCCCAAACCCAATAGACTGCTCCTTCTCTATTTCTTTCACTGTATTTCATTCTTTCATCTATAAGGATGGTGTTCCCAGATCCATTCTTTTTTTTTTCCTTTTTGTCTTTTTTACTGACCGGTAACGGGATCGCAACCCTCGGTGTTGCGCCCGCACCCCCCTCAGCCAGTGAGCGGGAACCGGGCTCTACATGGGATCTGAACCCTTGGCGGGAGCGCCGCCGCACTCCCAAGCGGCGCACTCTCCAGTGCACCACCGGGCTGGCCCCCAGATCCATTCTGAATCTTCTTATTCTCTTTACTCTTTCCAAGAAATGTCCATTTCTTAGGCTTCTATTCCTACCCATATGTTAATGAGATAACACTCTTTTGAACCCAAATCTATCCAGAGTTTCCAACCAGCATATCCAACTGCCCGTGAATTAACCACAGATACTTCAAATGCACCATATTCCCTCTTGACTCCTGCAAAGCATGTTCCTCCTTTTGTATTTGCTTTTTAGTCTCCAACTGGTCTAGGCCAGAAAGCACTGAGTCATCATTCATTTGTTCACTGCATATATACTGAGTGCCTACTATGTGCTAGGCACTATGCTGGTCACTTGGGGTTCAACGTTGAATAAGACCCCTCCCTCCACTCATATCCAATCATCCACCAAGTCCTCTTCACACCCTAAATGTCTCTCGTCTGTTTTCCCCTCCACGTTTCCATTTACCCTACTTGGGTAACTGCTTCAGCCTCCTAAGTGGTCTTGCTCCCTCCAGTCTCCCCCTCCAATCCTCTCCACTGCTGCCTGAGTAATCTTTCAAAAACTCAGATCTTCTTGCTATTGCTCTGGTTTAGACGCAAGTGTGGCCCTTGTCCTTCCCAGGATCACCCCAGTGCTGTCAATTACAGCCCCTCCCACCTACTCTGAGACCTCGCTCCATCCAGCAGTCTTTCTGGGCATTGGAGCCAAAAAGACTGACTGGGTTTAAATCCCAGCTCTGCCACTTACTGGCTATATGCTAGAGCTATTTCCTAACCCTTAACCTATCCATGATTTGGTTTCTTCATCCATCAAATGGATCTATTAAAACCTAATTCATTGTGCTATTAAGAGGATGAAATAAAGTCATTTATATAGAGGGATTAGCTCTGTGCTTAGCACAGGATAGGCAAATAATAAGAGCTATTATTTTTATTAACAATAGTCTAACACTTCTAGCCTCAAAAATCCCTGTTTCAGGATAAGACCCAAACCCCTTTGCCAAGCCTGCAGTCTCACCATGATCTAGATTCTGCTTACCTTTCCCTCCTCACCTTGATCCAGGTATGTTTGTTTAATTTCAGTTCTAAGAGGCTGTTCCTTACTTCAGTGCCTTTGCACATGTGTCACTCTGAAATACTGATTTCCACACATATTCATCTGTCAAGACCCTGCTCAAATGTGACCTCCTTTGTGAAAACTTCCCTGACCTCTCAGTGGCTTCTTTCTGGGTTTTCCCATAGCACTCTGGACACACCTCCATCGGCACTTATCCACACTTTAGTTGTTTATTTACATGCCTGTCTTCACTCCCATGTGCACGACCTGAAGGGCAGAGGTCGTACCTATAGTCAATAAACGAATGAATGCTCATCTCATAAAATATATCAGGAACTTGTACAGACCACGCTTTTGGCTGAAGGAAACGTCTGAAGGTGAATGAACAGGTGGTCCTTGGACACACCTGTGTCTCACCTGTGAACCAGTTCCATGAACAGGGTCAGGCACACAGCATCTGTTTTCCCTGTTGTTTACAAGAAGGCAGCTTCTATTCTTCAGTCTTAGTCTTTGAATTTCCACACTCAAAACCTCCTTGTTGCATTATATGAGTATTTTCCCTGGCTCTCCCCCTACCTGATGTCAGGATAGACTCTTTAGCCTTTCTGGGCTCTCTCAGCACTACTGGAAGCACACCAAGGACCCATGGAGGTGTTGGGAACATCCTTCTGCACATTCTAAGGGAGTATCCTTCAGAGGGACTGATTTCAGGAATCCAGGGTAGTGTGACCTCTTGCAGGACATGTGGCGGAGTGACCACTATAGGGTCACTGACTTCCACACATTGGCCAAGGCTAGGCCTTCTGGGGGTGAACCAAATTTTATCTCAGAAAATTCTCAGGTGTCACCTAGACTTCCCCCTTTACTCTACCTTCAAGTCCAAAAGAAAATGAAAATAAGCATCTTAAACAATTCCAAGAAAGAGCACTCTAGACAACAACTTAATAACCTGATGGTAGTAAGTCCTCCTTCTGGTCGAGCCTCCATCCTTACTCCATGCAGCTGAAGCATCCTTCCCCATTGACTAGGTTCGCCACGAAATGGTTTAGTAAAATGTAATCTCTTTTTGTAAAATGCAGTGTGGGGGAAATCTGCTTCCAGTGTTCCCAGTACTATGGCCTCTGGAACTTAGACCAAACAGTTTTAAGGTGTTGGGTAAAATTTAAAAAGGAAAAAAACAAAAGCTTTTTACGTGTTAGTAAGTGTTGTGGACAGAATAATATTCTTTCAAATTTCATACACTGATGTCCTAATCCCCAATGTGACTGTATTTGGAGATAGGATCTTTAAAGAGGTAATTTAAGGTTAAACGAGGTCATAAGTACGGGGACCTAATCTGATGGGATTGGTGTCCTTATAAGAGGAGGAGACATCAGAGACATCTGTGTGCACAGAGGAAAGGTCGCATGAGGACACAAGGAGAAGGTAGCCATCTACAAGCCAGGAAGAGAGCTCACGAGAAACCTAACTTGCCAGCACCTTAAGCACGGACTTGTAGTCTCCAGACCTGTGAGAAAATAAATGTCTATTGTTTACGTTGCCTAGTCTGTGGTATTTTGTTACAGCAGTCTGAGTAGACGAGACTAACATCATAAGGAATACTAAGAGTCCACAGCACAGTGAATGTAGGACCCAAAATGTGTCTGCGAGCATGAAGCTGGCCTTGAGTATACTTCAAAAATCTGGAGAAGTATAGTTTCGGTTTTGGGGGGCTCATGGAGAAGAGGGAACAGGAGACAAAGGTCAGGGCCCACCAAGGTGGGGACTCTGATATGAAACCTCTGCATAGAGCTGGCTCATTAAAACTGCACCACCTGTGTGAGGGTGAACTAGAGATAAGCCCATCTTCCTTCTAATCTGCCACTGCCACCCTCTGGGTGTATCTGCAGGCTGATTGTTTACCTCAGTCCTTGACACTGAGTGGACAGGAAACAGAAAACTTCTGATGAGAATCTATAACCATAAGTCAACCTTCACATGCATTACTTGGGTGATTTGAAATCTTCATACTGAGAATTGAGTGTAAAGAGACTGGTAATGCCCCCAGCACCAGGCAGAAGCAAATGCAAATGCTCTCTGGAACAGACCACCTTCCACCCAGGTCTCAAAGAATCCCAGAGGCAAAGTTTATCCTTCTAACCACATAGGCAACAATTATAAAACAAAGAAGGAAACACGGGACTGGGAGCAAGAGGTGGTAAACAACGGACAACAGAATCAGACTTGCAAAGACTTCAGATATTGACACTAACAGGCACAGAATATAAAATGAGTTTATTTAATAAATTTCAAGAATTAAAGAAGGATCTAAACATGAATGAAGAGCAAGAGACTATAAAATATTACCAAGAACATTTGAAAAAGAACCAAATAAACCTTCATAAAATGAAAATTCTATTTGAAATTAAAATAAATCTTCAGTGAATAAATTTAACAGAGTTTAGTCACAGCTGACTAGAGCACTAGTGAACAGAAAGAGGGAGAAAATATGAGAGAGGTTTAGAAATGCAGAGGATAGAGAAAAAGATTAACATGTCTTGTCAGACTTCCAGAAGGAAAAAAGAGAGGGATGTAAAGGAGAGGCAACAGTTGAAAAGATAATGGCCAAATATTTTCCTGAGTTGATGAAGGCCACAATCCATGGATTCAAGAAGCTTGATAAATTCAAGCAGGATGAATACAAAAAATCCAAACCTACACACATGACGATGAAACTGCAGAACACTAAAGACAAGGAAAAGACCATGAAAGCATGCAGAAGGATGTCATACAAAGAAATGACAGTAATAAGTAAGTAAGCTGACAGCACCAATGGAAGCTGCAAGACACTGGAGAAATATCTCCATGTGTAGAGAGAATATAATTACCAACCAAGAACCAAATGTCAAGTGAATACCGGTGTTCTTTAAGAATGGGGGAAACAGACATTTTAAGACAAACAAGAAACAAGAAAGTTTGCCATCAACTGGAAAATAAATTCTAAAAAATGTACTTTGGACAGAGAGAAAATAATTCCAAAGTAAAGGACAGATATGGGGCTGGCCCGTGGCTCACTTGGGAGAGTGCGGTGCTGATAACACCAAGGGCCCGGGTTCGGATCCTATATAGGGATGTCCGGTTCGCTCACTGGCTGAGCGTGGTGCTGACAACACCAAGTCAAGGGTTAAGATCCCCTTACCGGTCATCTTTAAAAAAAAAAAGGACAGATACACGAGAAGGAATGGTGACCACAGAAGTGGTAAAGATGGGAGTGAATCTTAATAGATGTTGGCTTTGACAGATACACAAGAAGGAATGGTGACCACAGAAGTGGTAAAGATGGGAGTGAATCTTAATAGATGTTGGCTTTATTAAACAATAACAATAATGACTGGTGAGATAAAGTACTGTTATTGTTATTAAACAATAACAGTAATGACTGAGATAAAGTCAGGTGCATGAAAATACATGCACCACAGAGTATGAATCAGGAG